CGCACTGTGCTGTAAAACAATTGTATTTTCAAAATGTTTTTCTGCAGATTGTTTATCTTCTACACAGTAGCAATAATTCAAAATAAACACCTGGATGTTCATCAATCACTTGAACAGCGTGAATGGTGATGTTATTGGTAGGGCAAGACATGCTTACCATTTTAGCAAACACCTAGTGTCATCACTGATTTTCTGTGGCTCATTCACATGATTTTCACAGCTCTTTTTGCACATTTCACCAAATGGAATCTTTTTCTAAGGACAGTCAAGACATGGTACTCTTTTGCACTGACATATAGTTATGAGACAATAACCTGTGATGAGTGCAATCTCTGTGTATGTAGAAATACTTCGTGAAACAGAAAAGGTAAATCATGTCTTGGAATTTGGTGTCACCCAAAACTCATTTCATGCAATATGTATCTTGTAGGAGATAGTTTACTGAGATGAATATCAAGGAGACATCTAATGTTTTACTGTACACTGAAATCACAACAAGAATTCTGACAATCAAGACACACAGCACAAAATGTCTGCAAGAGTTCTACCCTTAACTAGCCAGGAAAAAATAGGCAAGGCTACCCATCATATCCTCAATGTTGTTTCACTTAATTAAATGAAAACATTCAGGCAATGAGAATTTTCGGTAGGGGTGGATGGTTTTGTCTTATTCCCTTGTACTTTGGCAAGTGGATTTTCAAAAACAACATGAAAATGACATCCTCTTTCAGTGAATCTAACACAGCAATCATTATGTCTGTGAGTCAAAAGCCCCAATTTGAGGTTCTTTGGTGTCTGCAAGTCACTTTCCTAATGTTTTCAGACAAAAATAAGTATTCCAAAAACCGCATCATGTAAGCTACAATACTGCATCAATATCTGACTTCCTGATTGGGACCAGCAAACACAGGATCTTTATCTTTCAATGATACATCTTTTCTTTTAAAGATATGGTTGCTTGAATCAGAAATATATTATATATTATATTTGAAATGTGAGTTGAAACTTTCAGTAATCATATCTACAAAATATTCAAAGCAAATAAATGCCAAAATTTCTTGTTAATTCACCACTATTGATGACAAACAAGCAACATCTGCTAAGGAGTGGAGCTTAGTATAATGTACAAAGTCCTCCCCTGTCAATATCACATGACAAGTGTTCTAATTGAGACAGATAGCCGTGACAGATAGTTAAAAAATGGCTGATATTATGCATGTTCAAAGAAACAAGTAGTATCATGTCCATTTCATAGGGTTGACCTTTCCAAAGACTATCGAGTTGACATGGCAATGTGAGGACACTGGGATGTAGTAGAAGTACTTTTTACCGTAAATGACTCTGAGCATGGGCATGCCTATATCTAATTCTACCATTTATTTGTAGAAGTCGTAAGGAATTGAGGAGTGAGTGAGGTAGAGTGTTTGAACAGTAATTCACTATTAGCAGCATGCCAAAGGAAAGCCAGATTATATAACTGTGTTTTTAGATGTTATATTTAGAATTGTGAAACAGACATTTCATTAAATCACATAAAACATAAATCACTAACTGGCATCGCTATAAATAAAAGTCATTAAAACTACTCATTTCGACCTTGGACTTAAATCGACCTTTTGACAACAGTGCACAATTCTCTCCCGCGAACGAAATTTCAACCAATCAGAGCCGCGACTCTGTTTAGGGGTAAATTATCTTGTTTACAGCTTGTATAAACCTGAAAGACAATTGTTGTGGAAAATGAGAGCTATATGTTCTCACAATCTACTGTCATTTAATTTTGTCTCCTGCTTTGCCTAGCCGAAGTTACAACTTGTTTTCATAGACGCTTCTGTCACAATTGATTAGCAGCCCTATTTTATAATGACTGATCCAAATTGAATTTCTGTGACTCTATTAAATCATGTCATGTAGCAAAAAATCTGTTTGTATTCTCAAAACATCTCGGCCCATAAGTTTTCACATGCAATTAATACTCCCTTTGTTGTAACCCGTGTTAGGGTGGTATAAACCTACACATGTTATTTGTCATCATTCACTTGATGGTCAGTTACATGAATTTATAACAGGTATAATTAGTGGTAACACACTTAGATTACCCGACAAAGGTTCCCATTTGGCATTTCTTGTGTCTGGAGTAAATATTCAACATTATAAACATCGATCAAAGGATTAACCGATAACATTGATTGATTAATTACTTTTATCTTGCTACAGTGATTTGTCAAAAGGTAGTGTTTATGTATGTAGATTTACTAATCTATACTGAATACACTCTGCCGTATCGGTGTCAAGGCGTGAAAAACAACGCCCTTCTTTCAAAGGATTAAGCAATTACATTGATTGATTGCCCATTATTGGCTAACTAAATTACTGTTTTAATGAAAGCATGACATTATGCAATTAGTTGCCAGGTGTGCTATCTTGGGTGACCAATGAGACTATACACCAATACCTGAAAAGATTTATCACTGTTTTTCAGATATTAAACTGTTAAAAGACACATCATTTGGGAACAGGTTTTGTGGATATTGATGGATACATTCCTCAAACAAAGGTAATGGCCTGATATTGTTCCTATAACTTTAATCTGTTTTAATTTTAATATTTGCATTTTGTTTTTTATTCATTTGTCGTAGCATTCAACAGAATCACTGTGCTGAGGAAGTGTAATGAGGACAGACAACATACACTAGGTGTGTGTGTGCTAATTATGATTCACATTGGCAAAGTAGAAAAGTCTTAAGACTATTCCCTACAATTCTGTAACTTACACATTGTACCCTAAATGGGTACAGAGCTTTGCTCGGGGAATATCAGAAGGACAACGATACAGTTATTTCCAATATTGTAGAAAGATCTCCACTTACTTTAGGAAAACACTGAGATATTGTATTCATGTCGAATGATATTTTCAGCATCTGTCAGATCAGAACCTGAACATGCGATGTCCGCATCTGTGGACCCGTGAAGGTCCTTGGTAGAATAGCCCTTCAGCAACCCATGCTTGCTATAAAAGCATCAATGCATGCTTGTCGTAAAGGCTTAATTAACGGGATCTGGTGGTCAGGCTCGCTGACTTGGTTGACATATGTCATCGGTTCCCAAATGCGCAGATCGATGCTCATGATGTTGATCACTGGACTGTCTGGTCCAGACTCGATTATTTACAGACCGCCGCCATATAGCTGGAATATTGCTGAGTCGCGGGCGTAAAACTCAACTCACTCACTCACCCAGCGTCTGTGTCAGACTAAAGGCCTATAAGATGTTTAGCAACACTGGGGCGTAATAGCCATAGATCTTCTCCAAACAAGGGAATATACATCTTGTGAGAATGACTTCTTCGACAGGAAATTTACAGCAATGCGACATCACAATTAATTCGTGATATTTACTCGCTAATCTGAGTTATGGATCGTCAATTTAAACAGGACAATATAGACCGAATTTCACAAAAGGCACGGAGATCCAACATGTCTGTGATATACTCAGAGAACGACCGTACTGTGCTATCCGGTCATAATCGCTAAATTCGATAAAAACAATTTTTCATTTCATGTCTCACAGAATATATAATTTGATATGGCATTGTTTCTTATTGTATACTTTTGCTAGTGAAACAAACTTTAAAGTTTATGTATGGCGTTTATTACAGCTAGTGCAATAATATTCCAATTATGTACTGCCACAATTATTGTACAGTAGTGATGTGCGAGCTGAACAGACTTAAGAAATTACGAAGTTGGTTAGGTGTAGCATATTTGACTGTGCTCCAAGAGAGACAAAGTGCTATTCTTTTGGGCAGCTAGGGACACTTGCTGGGACAAGGGGCAACGCATCGCCCTTTGTTCACCACTGAACCTTTCAATCCCTCGAAACATGCACCTCACAAGATTTGCCAACACCACAGACAAGGCGTAACTGATACTGGTAGCAAGAGCGAGTGCAGCTTAATAAGGCGTGTTAGCTTGCGTAATACCGCTGTCTTTGTCAGGCTCTTTGGTGATAAGAATATTTAGGTCATGTGAACGTTGATTTCAAACGTACTAAAATGTGTGAAAGCGAAATTACATGAGCCAAGTAATTCACATGATGGAAACATATGATCATCTTGCTTGAATACAGGTAACATGATGGTGTATGAACTGTTCATATACATACCCCTGAAACCGATATGATACATAAATATCTAAGGTGTGTAAACATTTGCAAATTTGAAAATTTACTTGTGTTTCCCCACCTAAGTAAATTCACATGTTTCCAACCCGAGTAAACTTAGAACGAAATCGAAATTTCAGCACCCACTGAAATTCAAAGGAATGCATTGGAAATATTGTATGATCATGTATTTACCGGGGTATCTGTTTTGCAATTCATATTTGGAAATCCCCGACAATCCAGTCAGGGCATACATGAACGAGGTGCTTGTGCATACGAAAATGTACGATGAGCATATGTTTCAAAGGTATAGATTCATATGAAATATATGCCCGGTTAGAAATATCTGAAAACATACGTAAACCCGGTCATGGCATGTATTTCCTACTGTATTTACGTATATTTCAATGGTTTACTATCCGGTTTTTGGTGCTGTGAGGGTTTTAGGTGACGTGCAAATGTGTGACCAGTAACTTTGCAGGATCCTGATAGTGCCTGCAAGGATCCCTAAAGCTAATAATTGGGGGTTCCTGGGACCCCCATGTTTGTGAGTCGAGATAAAACTCTGCTACCTGATCAAGGCTGTTAGTAGTACTGATTTTAGCATTAGGGGCATATTATTGTATATCCATACAGTTATTACTACCATCCAATCACCTTTCCAGTTTTCCTTCACAACCAACAAGTAATGACAAACTTTTCAAAAATAGGAATCATCATTCCTCACATTTTATTTTTTCACTCAGTTTAAAATGACTGTCACAATCCAATAACACACCAGGAATAGAAACCATACAAGGAATGCATTATAAAATGAAAAACAACAACAAGTGACTTACTTTTTCAGCAGGGTCATTTGTGCCACTAGGTCCACTTCTTGCTGCTGAAGTTGCTGTGTCAGCTCTTCTTTATCTTTTAATTGTCTCCGAGTCTCATTTACCACACTCCTCAGGGACTGAACCTAATCAGGCAGAGAAGAAAGACTGTCTTGGCAGAAGCAGGCACAGGCAGAGCAGTTGTCCCTCACACACTTTGGAGAATACTAATGCTCTTCAATGAACATAAAACATAATTGTCTCATAACAAAGGACATGTTTTGACTATAAATTCCACATTCATTACTTCAAAAACAACTTTAGCCATTTTGTGTTTGTTCTGCAAGGAAACAGTTGACAAAAGGCATGCTGAAGAGGAAGTCAATAAATTGTTCCTGAAATGTCATTAACTTTGTCACACTTGTTTCCTTTAGCAATGCTGATGTCCAGTCCTTGAACCCACTGTTTAACAAAAGATCATTATTTTGTTGTCACTTTTTGCTATTTCTTACAAGGGAGGACCAGCAAGTGGTTTGTTAAACAACTTTTTTATTCGGGTGTCCAAAATTATGAGACAAATCATCAGAGTTGGTCCGTCGATTTCATGTGACTGTGCAAAGTTTGATTTTGTTGCATGTATTAAATTTTGCATTAGTTAATATTTTTATATTCAATTGAACTTTATTGCTTATCACACACACAGCATTTAGAAAGTGGTTAAATGTAACACATGTTATATTTGGGATTAAACTTTGTTAGTAAAGTACAGATTCTAGAACTTTTGTTACGTTGTGTCCCATCCGTGATTTTGAACCCTCACTCAGAGTCAGGCACCTAATCGCCACCACACAAAGTCAGCGATCTAAGCCTCCGCGGCTTCCACAAAAATGGTAGTCAGACAAATGGTAGTCTAAACCATGTACTTTGTGTACACCTATGACAAGTGTAAATTAGCATGGCTTCCACCAGACCTGTACTTTACTGAGAAAGTGTAATCCCAAACATAACATATTTTGATCTGATAAATGTAGGTGATGCAGAAATAGAAAGCTTCATCTGCAGAATTAAGTAACACTGCAACAGACTGAATAAACCTCCTTCATGTTTCAATTTCAAGATGTAACTGAAATGCCCTGTTCATCAGATGGAGTCACTAAGGTTTCTATGAGATGAGATTCCTCCAAAGAACCTGTCTGAATGCTAGTGATCAATAATGCAATAATGACAGATAACATATTTAAAACTACAACATTTTGGGCAGAAACTATTAGTATGTCCATTTATCTCTGAAGTAAATTTTAAGACAGTGAAATAGTTTAGTTATAGCCAAATTTTTGTATCATCAAATACCGAAGAGGTGAAATGGGATAACCTCATGTCCAAGATTGTTTTACTTTGTGACGAGTATGCACATTTGTGTGAGGTTGCTTGAACAAAACCAGAGTATGTTCCACAGCAGTAGCTCACTGAGATACCATTAGTGAGTGAGTAAGGTTTTATGCTGCTTTTAGCAATACTCCAGCAATATCATGGCGGTGTACACCAGAAATGGGCGTCACACATTGTACCCATGTGGGGGTCTTCGGCGAGACAAATGAACGCTTAACCACTAGGCTACCCGACCATCCCGAGATACCATTAAACAGTCTATTATGGATACCTGACTCAGACCAGTTTTACTGATTTAGAGCTGGTGCATCCCCCTAGATTCAAATTACCAGGCAGGGAAACAACAAGTGCCATCTTTTAGCACCTTTAGGAATGATGATGTCATGGAACTCAGATATCACTATTCTGTCCCATATCTCTATCTAGCCTTGCTCTAAGGCTGTACTGAATGCTAAGCCCATGTATACTAATTCTATCCTTTAAAGAGGCTAAGTCTAGATAAGCAGACAGTACAAGTATGCCAGTGAGTTGTTTATCTTGTTTAGAAATTTTCATTTAAACTATGAATCATTACCTTAGAAACTTGTGCAAGTGTAGGCTCCATCCACTGCACCGTGATGCAGTCAGTTAATTTGGGGTTCTTAAAATATTTTCAAAACAATTTTCTCAATTGTAAAACATTGAAAGGTATAAAAAGACACGTTTCAAGATACAGTTTCATGATTAGTTCGTGGAATCATCTGTGCACAGAAAATTGTTTGAAATAAATCTTTGGGTTATTTTAGCGAATGCATTCAATAAGATTGTGCTGGTTCGGGTCAAACCTTATTGATTCAGTGTTATGGAGAAGACAGAAAGTTTTTCATGAAGACTGATATGTTTGAAAGATGAATGAATCAAACATCAATACTGCTTTGATAGCACAGATTCTGTCAAACATCCCTCCTACAGTGTGGGCACATGCTGCAGATCAATCAAAGTCACTGCTCACAGTGGAATGTAATCTTTCACGATGATCTTTTTACATTAAAACCATTTACCATTCAACCAAATCAATATGATTCAGAGATTAATCTAAATTTTATACCATATCAAGATTCAAACTATGTAGTTAAAGAAATAAAACTAAAAATATCTGATTACAAAACTTTTTTTTCTCCATCGTTCAATCCGTTTCAAAGAATAATGGCATACAGTGTCATTTAAAAAAAGATAACAATTTCTGAATGAATGGTTTCAATTTTGGACAGATCATCTGAAATCTTTCATGAGTGATTGTGGAGATATATTTAGTTTATATATGGTTTTATTATATATTTCTTGTTTGACAATTCAACTCTTAAATCTGTAGAAAATTCCATTCAAATAGTTCACAAACAGGTTCTAATGAACAGTCAATGGTAAAAACAAAATTGGTCCCTGATGCTAACTGACTGTCCTACCATACTAGGCCTTGAGTATTAAAGCCATACACTTCAACAAATATCAATATTTACAAAACCTTGTTCTGTTAACATTCACAAAATCATTCCCAAGTTCTCTTGTCTATCTTTGATACTCTTTAAAGGCCTTACAGTAACACAATAAAAAAGGATCTTAAAATTTTTAAATATGACTGGTCTTCCCTTTGAAATCTGTTGAAAGTAGTTAACATTCTTACGAAAGAAGACTATAGGTCATGAAAGAAGACCATAGGTCATGAAAGAAGACTATAGGTCATGAAAGAAGACTATAGGTCATGAAAGAAGACTATAGGTCATGAAAGAAGACCATAGGTCATGAAAGAAGACCATAGGTCATGAAAGAAGACTATAGGTCATGAAAGAAGACTATAGGTCATGAAAGAAGACCATAGGTCATGAAAGAAGACTATAGGTCATGAAAGAAGACTATAGGTCATGAAAGAAGACTATAGGTCATGAAAGAAGACTATAGGTCATGAAAGAAGACTATAGGTCATGAAAGAAGACTAGTGCGATTTTGTCACCATACATCATGAAAAAACCCGAATTCAACATGAATCCTTAATGATAACATTATCACTTCACTCAAAATAAACTTAATTATTTCTACACCAATTATCAATACATACAGATTAAAAAACTCGTTGAATATGGAAAATATCATCTCGTTGGAATATTTTCCATATTCAACATCCACGAAGTTTTGTGATCTATTTATTACACACAGGAAGGGAAAACAGTGTGATCCATGATGACAAATCAAGCAGACGATGCCAGATGTAAACAAAACAAAAGGGAGATAACTCTGTCACAACTACTTTATAGATGAAAATAAACAAGTAAAAATATTCACTTAAAAAAATAATACTAATCCCCAGGACACCGAAATTGATTTTCAATTATCCACAGATCTAATGTTTTGCTTGGTTGACATTTTTTATCAAAAACTGCTTGAATAGAGTTACAATGTTAATTTAAAATATCAAGGTGGCAACAGAAAGTTCGGCATTATGACATCACAATCGTTAAATAACCTAGTTTGGTTATCCAACACTCGTTGGATAACTTTCAACTGGTTATACAACACCTGTTTCAAATAACCAAAATTATCTCATAAAGATATTCAGAACACGTGTGTAATAATGCAAAATACGTCCGACTAATGGAGGCACATCTCATCCATATTTCTTATACTTACAGCCACTGTTGGGAATTATAAAAGGGATATGTGAGGATTTATAACTGAAGAGGATTTACAGCAAAGAACCTGAAACTAAACATGGAGGTACATCTCATACCTGGTACATATTTTCATAAAGCTACTACAGAAATTACAAAAAAATATATCTAAAAAATGTCAGTAGTTTTTTTACAAATCAGCTGATGATTGACCATTATTAAATATCAGATGGTGATTATTGGACCAGGCCAGAGCAGCATTTACTTTACTTAGGCAGTGCAAGATGAGATAAGTCACAGTAGTAACTACATTAAGTCAACTCTTACAAAAAGTATGGGAAAATGGTGACCTATCCTGCCACAGAATCCTCATGGGGAGTTACTATAGTGATTATGTGCCACATAAGAAAATGACCGAATAAAGAAAATGGATTGGAATGATCTTTATGCCATTTATCTCTAGGTACACAGCTGACTCACAGACATATAGGTATGTTTTTCTTACCAATTTTTTTATTCCAGGCTTTTATTCAGTGGTTTATCTTAAATATCAATTAAATAACAATGTGGTTCATAAAGAGACTTCATAGAAATATTGTCAATTGGGTGAAATAGACACTTTACTAAAAAGAAAATGTAAAGAATTACTTATTGATAAACAGGAAGTTTTTGGCTATGTTTATTTTCAAACTCTTTCAAAAGACTGTTATCAAATTATTCAGTTTAAGAAATTTGAGTCGGTGGATAAGTAAACCGTAATAAAACATAAAGGGCAGTGAGCTTTGTGCTCCAGTGCCACTGCACCCACACAGTGCCTTCACTCACCTCTCGCTGATACTGTTTTTTCAGGGCCCTCTCCTCCAGCAGAACATCCCGCAGCACAGTAAGCCTGTTGTCCAGTGTACTGTCCGCGGTCATCTCCCAGTTGGACACGCTCTCCACTGCCTCATCATGGAGCCGTTTTAGGCGCTCATTTTCGCCTTTACCGAAAAAAGGTACCAATTAGGGTGGGTGTTTTAAGCTATGGACACTGATAGAATAGTTACCTATTCTCAACAGCATCATTGGTGTGAGAATCTGTCAAGCTGTCAGTGGTGTTACTGTTACTCTGGGTAGAAAAAGCTCTATATCAGGGTTATTGCTATAAAAACTTAAAATCCCTGATAAAGCAAGATTAGGGAAAAAGGTAATATATAGTCAAAAGTCTTACTTAAGCCGCTATGGAAAAGAAAAATATGCTTTTAGACCAGTTTTAAAGGGCAAGTGTACACGGAAATTAACCTTTTTGTCTTGCACTTTTTCATCATAAAAAGTGTTTATCAAGTAGTTTTACATCCAAACCCGTACATATATCAGAAGTAACTAATTTATTTTTTGTGTTATATTAATTCATATTTTCAACATTTACCGAGAGTTCTCTGTCCACAATAAACAGGTATAGGTGTGCTTCTTGTGTCTCGATGTGCAGGCTACTGTCAGTGTATGAAATAAGGTCTAGATTTACAGCTTGTCAGCCTGAGCTCCATACATCGAGACGGGATAGATTTCTGACGGATGGGTCTAGATTTACAGCTTGTCAGCCCGATAGTCTGGTAAACTTTTTTGATGTTCCATACATCTGAGTAAATTCATTCTATATCTTGCTTGGTGTCTCTTCTAATTAAATCCATTTCAGGCTGGTACAGTTTTTACACATTACTAAATCACCATTCACTGCGTTTTGCGTAATTTATAGTATGTCTTAATTCAAATGTCAAATTTTACTGGGAGAATTGAATTTAAAAGAAAAAGACGTATCACTGTGATTAGCGATAGTTTTGTTGTTGTATGATCAAATCAACAATGCTCGTTCTAAAACATTGTCCATGAACCGAGAATCGCTGAGAATGTTTCGAAAATACACAAACACAATTAACGTCAAAGTGAATTTTCAGCCATATTACAGAGTGTTTATAAAATCACGTCATGTATGACAGTTATGTTTCGCCCATAAAATCAATTGTATAGTTCAACACTATCTTCTTGACACGAATCCCGGAATTCCTCATACAGTTCAAAATAAACTGGCTAATGGACTTTGTCACCAATTCGAAGTGTTTCAGTGAAATCGAACGAAATATATCAGATGCCGCGCTGGGAAAGGATCACTTGTTTGAAATGTAAACAAAGCCAATCTCAGATTTTACACTGTGTATCTGTTCGCCTACTTGTTGCATAGACTTGCTTATTAGTTTTAGGACATGCATGGGAAAGGTATCGTAGGAAGCGATAGTTAAATAAAATAGGTGTATTAGTTTAGATTCAACAACATATTATAAAATTTCTTGCCAACTCAACTCCGATGACGTACCTCTCTTAACTTATGAATATTTCCTTAGTCACAATGAAAACAAAAGAAAATAACAACCAGCAGACTGACAGTGATGTCACACTTCATTTTGAAAAGTCGTCAGTGAACACTTCATTTTGAAAAAGTCGCCTCCCGATAGTGATGTCATACGGACGTCAACATTGTTATACATATTTGGTATTTTAACTGAGGTGAGGTTATGAATGAAAATACACACGATCAATCTGTCCTGCTGCTTACATTTTCTGTTCTTACGCGTCTTTCGAATTTTCACAAACTTTTTCACGTGATTAATTTCAGTATTATTATCTTTTGATTTGGGACTAGACAGGAGACCAGTTTAAAATCAAGTGGCACCAATTACGTCATAATCAAAGGGCGGTAACTCTGGCCTGTTTAGCTCGGCAAACAAGGGCCTCATATTGGCGTAACATTTCAGCACTTAATTTGAGGGTTATACTTACATTGTAAGAAAAATTAGTGTATATTTTCAAGCATTGGTATTAACTTATTAAAACAGTTCACGTAGATTCACATAAGAATAAATGTGATTTATTTGTGTACACTTCCCCTTTAAGGAAAATTATGAAAAAAGCAGACTTTTCTTCTTTCATAGAAACTTAGGCCTAAACAAAAGTGTTGTAGTTCCGATTACCCGACAGACCCTTGAATTCTGGTGCCGACCCTAATTTGTTTAAGAGATATGAATAAAATAAACTTTCAGATACCATTGGTTTTTTTTCCGGCACTGATGTGCATCGGTCATTCTGATAGAGAAAGTCAACATGACAGCCACAAGCTTGATTGAATAAACACTTATACATTGATAAATGTGTTATTAGTTTGTACTTTGCTTCTAAAAAAAAAAATGTAAAAAACCCCAAACATCCTACCTATCTACCCTAAATTTTAAAGAGGTGTAATCGGAACCACAACAGTTTTTTTATTTGGCCTTAAGTAAGACTAAGGACTAAACAGTATGTTTGAAATTATCTTTAGTTCATGGATTTGATGCTGAAATCCATTTCTGGTGTCCCCCAGAGTGATATTGCACTAGTATTGCTAAAAGTGGCATAAAACTGCACTCACTCCTTTTTCAGACAAATGTGAGTGAAGACAAATTTCAAAGACAACCCAACAGTTGCATTTTCTTCGTGTAAGAAAACATCTGCAAATGTAATGTACTGATTAATTTACTGGTTGATGTCATCACTGATGGTGCTTTTTAGTTCTTCTGGAACATAATATTGTGTTTTGAATGTTATATTCTTTGAGCATGTATAATTACCTTGAAGCTTTTGCAAAACTAGCATCAACCTTTGGAACCTGAAACACCAGCATAACAAAACCTATGAAAGAACAAAGATACACGTGTAAACAATACAACCTTTCAATTGCCAATCATTGAGTACATTTTTTCATTCTTCTCTTAAACATTTTCCAAACATTTTGGCAAATTGAAAAAATACTAATGGAAGATTTTATACAAATCAACGCTGAAAATTGTATTCTTAGACTTTAATTTCCTGGCACTGGGAAAATATTCAAAATTCCCTGACTATGAAAATTATACACAGTTTATTTTACTATTGACAAAACTGTATTTTATGCCATATATCATTGACAATACTGTGAGTCTCAAAGAAAATGACAAAGCAATAACTAGGCCTTTATTGTTGTGAATGTGCATATGTACACGCCAAGGGACCATTCATAATTTATGGCTTGGGGGAAGATGATTTTAGGTGTGTGTGTGTGGTATTCCACCCATTTTGTTCTGGGGAGGTAGTGGGATTATCTATTTTGTACACCTGTACTCGGGGGTGTCATTGAATTTGTACATGATGGGGAGAGAGAAAAGAATAATTTTTTTTTACATGCCTGTCCATAACAGTCATCATCAACCCTCTTAGCCAAATACTATGCACGGTCCCTAAGCACAACAGTATTTTCAGATCTATACATCAACTCCCATTGCTTCATCAGGAAAAAGGTGCACATAAAAATGCTATATCAATTGCATTAGTTGCTTGTTTGAAATTACAAGAGGATCTTTTTCTGAAACATATTTTTTAATGATCAAATGATCACAATATCCTGCATGCTGACTTCCTATCAGTGCATTTTCTGCCTCACATGTAAACCTTTTGAGCAATGGAGCATATTGAATCAAATTGTTCAGTAATTACTCCCAGAGGCCTCGTATAAGCATAATGAGTGGGTTCAATGCAGCCCATTATGCTGACCTGTGACTTTGAGGAGAAGTGTAACAAACTCAGCTTCAATTTGCATGTAAAGCAGGACAATCAAAAATATTCAAAAGATTTATCCCTGTTAGATCTGACTGTTCATTCAGCTACCAAACTGAAAACACACTTCATTACTTCTTCATGTGAGCTAATATTTTTAGAAATAACATGTACTCATTCATAAATATAATTTGAAAATGTTTTCAACATGTTAAATGTTAATGACTTCATTATAAAAACAAACAGATCTGAAATAGCTCAATGACATCTAATTAGGATTAGGACTACTTTTCATGGACACCGTATCTCTGATAGCTTTAATTACAGACATGGCAATCTAGCTATTTGGTAATAACATGCCAACTCATTTGTCTGTGTAAGACTTTTTGGAATTTCAATAAATAAACAAGTTTGTAATTGTTTGGTTGCCAGTGCAGGATTAAAATAATTTGAGTGGTGCTTGATGTCTTTCTGAAAATAAGCAGGTTTAAATCATATATTGCGTTTTTGTGGTGTCTCTTGGTTGAGAATTACAACGAAACATATACCTTCTCTCTGGTTGGTCATTTTCATCATTTGACATTCCATTTGGGGAAAGATCTTGATCCTCTCCATCACTGTCAGTGAAGAGTTGTCTAGAGTAGCCTCCCCTGTCTGGGTTTGCCTCCACTGCACTGATCACTTCATTGATTTGCTGTGTAAATGTATCTTGTTGTTCCTTGAATTTCTCAACCTGGTGTCAAGTTTTAAAAGACAGAATTACAGAATTCATCATTATGATATAAAATTATGAATGACAGTCTGTCATCGGATCTGTAGTCCAGAGCAATTGCTCAAACATTTTGACAGGCATCCTCAGCATGAGTAACAGGTCCCTCAGGAGCTGCTCTTAACTGGTATTGTTTCATTTGACATTCAGTGAGCAAACATGTTTCAGGCTCAGAATTTTCATTCAAACATAACAGCCTTCCTGATTACTCTTTCAGACATGCTATTCTGAAGAAAGAACTTGCGTGTTTAGCTGATGAGTTACAAAACACGACTTGCCAGCTTGACAGGATAAGAGTAAGTTTTTATCACAGCCTAGATAACAGTATATATGTCATTGTCATATGAAGCCAATCACATTGTAGAACATTCTCCTAGAGTTTGTTATGGCAAGTCCAGTGCCTCTGCTATTCTTACAAAGTCAATTTAAGATGTTAAAGTACATGTATCTCACGAAATGGTCAAATTTATTGCAAAATTATCCAAAAAACATGAAAGACTATCTCGTTTGTGTAATTATCCTCTGTTCACATTGGTTGTATAGCTCCACATGCTGCTATCGAAGCCCATTGGCATTGACATGTATGGCCATTACATGTCACATTCTAAATTGTAAATAGATACATACATGGTGAAATGTGGGTTATAAAATTATATCCGTTGGGAACAAGTATTACATTGGAACTGGTTAACACAATTTATAGAAATGTACTTGAAATTACTTTGCACATCCACATCAAACGCCAAAAGCCCACCATCAACCGAGACCAAGGATACTTCATTCCATCCGCTTATGATGCACTCATCCACCAAGCCCAATCTACTGTATAAACTCTGCTGTATAAACATCTCATTATTATTTGTACATCATTGGCTTCCACGCCTGTCCTTTGTTTACTCTCTGGCCCCATCGGCTTTCTGCCTAGCCAATTATGTTAATTATGTTGTTTTCTTTGTTACATTGTTACATCCAGTATATATACACTTCCCCCTTCTTCATGTTCCATTATGCTTGACAACGGTACAAGAATCTGTATCGAAATGTCGCTACTCACGAATAAAAAGAAGTTGTTATCCATAAAGTTTGTTCTATATTGTATACATTTCAGAAGCCCAGTGGTTTCAAAATGTTAACAAACAGAAGCTAGATGGATGTCAAATGTGGAACCAGAGACCATATAATAATCTATTATATGGTCTCTGGTGGAACACATGAGCATGGGAATGTCAGGTATTCTGAGCGGATCTTGGCATCACCAAGGGAAGTAACTCAGCACAGCCAGATATATCACCTGAGACCATTTTTGCAATCTAGCAGCTGTCTCTGAGTACAGTCCAATCCTAATGACATTTTTCTTATAATTCTGGTTAAACCAGTCAGCATGCATATGGTGGTTACAGGCCATCATATTCAGGAGTTCTAACCAATGACCAGTGGGTCTTGGCATGACTGAAGAATTGAATTCTGCACAGTGAGATTCATTGCCTAATACCCTAGCTCTTGGTTCTTTCATCTATTCAACTGCTTGAGCAAACATAATGTTCACCTAGAAAATTTTGCAACACAGATTGCAACACATATTAAACAATAATCATTCCACTATGTTGGAGTAACAAGGATATTATTACTGGACAAATAAAGCTTAGAATCCAAGAATCAGGTCTGAACATTTGTTCGGTGATATAAAGACTTACCAGTTTTACACCATCCAGTGTTTTGATGTCATTATCTCCATTTGCAGGCATGAAGGAAGCAACCTCGAGGTCTATGAGGTCCTCTGTTGTCCAGGACTCTGCCCCAGAAGAGAAGGACCGAGCCAGGATGCTCTCCTGAAGTTCCTTGTCACTCAATGGGGAGGGCAGGTGTAGAGATTCTTCAAGCTGAAGACAGACCAAGTACAGTCACTGACCTATCTTGACACTCACGATTTTCAAGCAAAATGCACTTAACAATTATGCATGTGTGAATGTTATCTTGAAGCACAGCCAGTAGTATAAACTAGAGAGGTGTTTGCTACATGCAAATTGAAAACATATTTAACGGATCATAACCTTGTACTGAATGACCCCAAATTTTGTCACCAGGAACATCTCCCTGGAAACAATTTGGTTGCCACCAAATCATCTATAACCCCTAGTGTTGCCACTCTGGTAAACACTGAAACGGGATGTTCCATGTCTCAAGATACCTTGCTATTGGAACATTAAAAGCAGTTCCAGGTCAATTAAATGCCTTCTGGTTTGGGAACACAAATGCCAAATGGAGAACCTCTACAAAAGAAACATTCATATGTCTTTGACAAAAATTTACAGTTTAATGACATCATTCACTTCCACTAGTTCCAGTTCATGTAAGCACATGCCCAGTACAACATACCTACAATACAGAAGGTCCCATGAACATAGATACCTTAATTACACATTTGGTTAATAACTTCACCTCCTGTTCAGAAAGAAAAGCATATGATCAATGTTATGACAATTAGGTTTATAGTGACCTTTACATAAGGTCACAGACAACGTTCTCAACTGAGACCAACCATATTGATCATATATGTTAGATATGTAAAAATATCTAATAATGAACACTGCAGACAGACATTGTGAAAAACATCACTTAATAACTTGTTTGAGAGGCATTTAGAAGTTGGATGGATGGATAACAATATATGATCACTTGCTTGAAAATGGTGTTACAACCTACACTGAAACGTCGCTCTCACTGTAATAAAGAAGTTGTTAATCCATATATTGTTATCCTTCCTTATCACTTAATGACTTCATTCTTCTCTTACATTTATGCTACAAAATAATCAAGTTAAGGCAGACAATTGACCTTTGGTATAGTGTGAGCAAAGCGCAATGTGGTGGCCATATTGAAAATTGGTTTTGAACCTCTTGAGCAAATCCAGGTGTGATGTTAAACCCTTATCCCTTGATTGGTTTCAGAGGATGTTCACAGGCTATGACTTTGATGATGCCAGACAAGCAGCCGTTGACAACTACTCAAGAGAAATTAACTTATAATCTATATTGGCTTTCTGCCGCATAGTGATGTTCATTTCTGATGCATATCACAGGTTAATCATAGTGCAGCCTACAACTGCTGGCTTCAGTCGATATCTGTTCCCCTAAATGTACTTATTCCTACTGAGTGTTTTTCTTGAGGGAATATTCACCATTTCCTTGATCTCATTATGTATAGATGTCTGTTTGACAGGGGTGCTGTGTGCAGTAGACTGGTGTGATGAAGCAGGTTCTTCCTCCAGCACCTCTCCCTCAACCTCCAGGTCATCGACGCACCCAGAGGAGCTAGACATGTTTGGCATATCTTCCTTCATGTGGTAACTGGAACACGGAAAGGTGCAAAGTAGTCAGTGACCTTCTCATCACTTTGTGTTAACAAAATAAAGGTAGTGGAATGTACTGAACAGTCATGTAACCCTTTGCAAAATATAGGAAAATAATGATTTCTGGGCAATAGTGGTTGTTGTTCTTGACTGTATCTAAATGTAAATTACATGAAAATTGGTAAACAATTTTCCCTAACTTTATCAATAGGTTTACTTTTTGAAGTAATTACAAATAATACATTGCTGGTTTATTAGCTAAAGATGTGTCTCATCTAAGTGTAGCATGCAAACTGTATTTAGCCAAAATATTGCACAAAAGGTTTTGTGTGGACGATTTTTGTGTTGAAGGACTAGCATCAGGTTTCTGGTATCTTAAGGGACTGAACTGAGATTTCCATATACTACAACAGATGACAATATTGCTCTCACTGCAAGAGAGTTTTACACTTACTTGGTTATTTCCTGATGAGCTTGTATCAGCTGCATTTGTAGATCATCGTGTTCATATTTCAATTCCTTTAGAAAGAAATCAAACAAAGACTGATCAGGCTAGCTTAAGGCTGAGTTTAAGTGAGTGAGTTTAGTTTTACGCAGCAGTCAGCAATATTCCAGATATATGGCGGTGGTCTGTAAATAATCAAGTCTGGACCAGACAATCCAGTGATCAACAGCATGAGCATCGATCTGCGTAATTGGGAACCGATGACAGGTGTCAACCAAGTCAGCGAGCCTGACCATCCGATCCCATTAGTGGCCTCTTTACGACAAGCATGGGTTACTGAAGATATATCAATTCTATCGCGGATCTTCAAGGGTATCTGAGTTTAAGACCCACTGGTCACAGATTTGATTCTCAGATGTAAGAATGAACACAATAGTTAGTATTACCTCAGTCATGAGTGAGGGAGTAAGGTTTTATGCTGAATCTAGCAATATTCCAGCAATATCACAGCGGGGACACCAAAAATTCGGCTTCACACATTGTACCCATGTGGGGAATCGAATCTAGGTCTTTGGTGTGACGCGTAAACGCTATAACCACAAGGCTACCCACTGCTCCACCTCAATGGTAAAACACATGTCATTGCAGGTATTGTTTCATAGAAACATCATCTGGTGTTCTGTCAGGCAGTCTAGCTGGTCTGAGCTAATGAAACTCTCATTGTGAAAATTAGGGATCAAAGAATTCTCTGGACACATTCCATTGAAGCTATGTACAACTTATCAAGGTAAAAATTCATTATATAAAAATATATTCCTATACATGATTTCAACTTCATGGAACGCAACAAGGTAAGCATGCTAGTCACTCAGAAATTTGAGAAAGCCTTCATTAAGATCAGTTTTTATAAGGGTGATAATGATCACACTATGTCAAATGTCAATGAAACTAAAATATTTTAGAGTTACAAGGCAATAACACTGATGTTATTCATGATAAATTCTGACCATATACAAAGAAAATATAGATTCTCATGTAAATTTTAATCAGAGGTACAGATAAGCTGCGTATCTGCGTAAATTACGCAAATATTTATGTGAAAACTCAATTCCTATTAAGTCTATTGCGTACAAGTACGCTTGAATTTTTGTAAATACTCAATAAATGTGATCTTACACGCGTACACACAAAAATGTCAAATCTTAATATGCGTACTGGTGGATAGATACTATAACTGAGGTATACTGAGAGGTTCTATTTCAGGATATGAACTTGACAACTTGCAGTTTTTCTTATCGCTTCTCAAATAACAGATCAAATATAAATAAAAAACACTCAAATTTAAACTTTATTATATTTTTAGATTATTGGAAAATGGCAAAATACCCAATTGAGTTTGAGTGAGATGAGTACAATGTATTTGGTTACTCAAAGGAAAATTAGGATACCCAATTGAGATGAACACAAGCGAGTACATAACTCAATGACCCAAAAAGTTATCTGTAGCTCTGTTTAATTCTTTGTGGGACATGATTGTGAAGATCACTCATATGTGTCTAACAGTTTGTCAGGGTACAGTCATGGAATAGCGCACGAGATATAGCAAATGTGGTATGCTAAAAATATCTGCACATTTTGAAATCTATTATTTTCAAATGGCTTCTGCAGTGGTCATGTCTTAAAAATGAATAATACCGTGAATAATTTGTTTTGTTTTGAATTCCATATTTCAGTCAGGGACAGTATGTAAACACAGAGCTCCCATACATTGGTAGTCACATGATCTAAGGGAGACAACTTCCTTGGAAAAATGTGGTGTGTTAGAACTTATGTGTTTCATTTTTCTGTAATAAACAAGAGATTTCCCGTTAGGTTCTTGTGTTTTCCTGACCATTCTGCTGCTGACCAGGTCCCACAAACAAGACAAATGTATTAAATAGCCCTTGATTCTTGCAGGTCACTGAAGAATGAGTCCATGTCTGTTGTTTAGGAAGTTACCAAGTCAGCAGTATTTGGTTATTTTGCAGCAGCTACCATATAAGTGAGTGTTGGTTGGTTGTTGTTTAATGCCACACTCAGCAATATCCCAGCTATATGGTGGCGATCTGGACCAGACAATCCAGTGATCAACAGCATGAGCATCGATCTACACAATTGAGATACGATGACATGTGTCAACCAAGTGAGTGAGCCTGACAATCTGATCCCATTTGAATTGCCTCTTAAGACAAGCATGGGTTGCTGAAAACCAATTCTAACCCGAAACTTAACAGGTAATATAAGTGAGGCCAAATAAAAAAAATGTTGTGGTTCGGATTACACCTCTTTTAAATTTAGGGTAGGTAGGTAGGATCTTCTTTTTTTTTATTACATATTTTTAGAAGTAACGTACAAACTAAGAACACATTTATCTATGTGTAATTGTTTATTCAATCAAGCTTGTGGTCATCATATTGACTTTCTCTATCAGAATGACCGATGTCTGTCGGTGCCGGGAAAAAACAATGGTATCTGAAAGCTTATTTTATTCAATCCGCTTAAAAAAATAAGGTCGGCACCAGAATTCTAGGGTCGGTCGGGTAATCGGAACCACAACATTTTTGTTTTAGGCCTGAGCGAGTGAGGCTGCTTTTCGCATTATTCGAGCTACATCATGACAGGAACCGCCACAAACGGGTGTTTGGCATGATGAATGAACTCTTTAACTACTTGTCTACAACACTACCCAGCCAGTACATAAACAGTCCTCGGTCCCTTCCACAAAATGGGCTTAGTGCTAAAGAGATAATTTAATGAGTGCTCTCATAATTTAACATAGCCATACGATTTTCATAGAGCTAAGAATGCTAAGAGTGCCCTGAATCAGAAAAATAGACCATGGTGTTTTCACTTTTATGAATAATTAATCACCTACCTCATTCATTTTATTGAGCTCATCCACACAAATCTTTAGATCTTGAATTTGCGTTTGTTTCTGAAAAAAGAGAACACTACATACACCAATTTGTCAGTTTCCCCAAAACAATTTTATACTTTGAAATAAAGAGAAAATGAATTTGTAAAAAACCTCTATTAATTGGTCCTTGTCAACACAAACAACAACAATGCTCCTTAAGAGGATATTCCTTTTAAGACGCTCATCTGATGGTTCAGGATTAGTACAAATCTGGAGTGTGTACTTGTGTTTTCACAAGATCTATGTTCCTAAACAAGAAGTCTTAAATAGATTGTTGACTAGTTGAATAGACTTCATGTCAAAACTTGATCTTGAAGATCTTGTAAATGTTTAGAGTGATAGTGATATTCATGTTTTGAATATGATGCTCAATGACATTGTCATAGTAACAACCAAAACTTATATTGGTCATGTAATTGGAACCCATTTCCGATATACAGTTTACTTACTTCAGACAGTGTTACTTCATGCATTGTTCTCTCCTCTGCTAGTTTCTTTAAAAGTTGCTGCAAATAGTTGAAAACAGCTACAATCATTTCAATATTACAGCATCAAATCTTTGTTTATATTATGCATGTTAAGATTTTATTAACATGGCCTACTTTGGTAAAGTAATAGCAAATGTAACTTTTCCAGGAAAACATGTTTTTCAATTTTTCAATTTCATGTAGTAATAACAAAACTGCAGAGATTTAATTCATCAAAACATGCATAAGTTAATAAACTTTCTGCTGGAAAAGGGAAATCAATTGATGGGTCAATACAGTCAGTGGTTCCTCATTATCATTCCTAAATTCAACATAAGAAGCTACAAACTCTGCATTATTTTATGAAAAGACCTCTGCCAAACTATTGATTCATAGGTTTTACAAACAGCTAAACCAAGCATTCATTATGATGAACCAACTAATGCAGACCTGGCTAACTGTCCTATGCTTTATAATAATTTCTCCAAACATAAGAAAACATCAATTTTGACTGAAGTCATGCTAATATATACAATGACAGTCATAGAATCATTCCAGTCATTTCTTACTGATATTGTATCATCTAATTTAACAAAATGCAACAACAGACAGGATTACCCATGAGAATATGAAGTCGCTCATTAGTAAATAATAACTTGTCTAATATCATTCCTTCAAAGCTATCTTCGTCTATACATTTAGCATGGTTCTCAGATTGCAGCATATTATGAATCTTGAAGTAAGAGCAATCTATTTGTATCTTAGGCCAAAAATCATAACATGAGTAAACCAAAGAAACATGGCTCCTCCCAAGATTTTAAAGCCTTACTTATCTCAGTGCCAATCTATCCTATCCTGCAGTTATTTACATTCAATGATGACCTGCGGTATTAAAACAGAGAACAGATGTAATGGTCAATATTCCTTGTTTTTCATATTACCGGTATATAAAACAGTACCTTAATAACATTTTAATAATATGGTTGATACCCATATCAAATATAGTCATACTGAAAATCTCTTATGAGATGGTCCTATCTCTCCTTGAACATCAAGAATGTGACGCCAGGTATGTTAAGTGTTTAAGAGGAAGTGAAACAAATCATTAAGGCATATACGAGAAGTAATTTGGCATGTATTTGTGTCAGCCGAAATGTGTGACTAACATTGTTTTATGAAGCGAAAGGACTCTCAACTAAGCACATACACACATGAACATGTTTCTAACACATTAGGTTTGTAAACCAAGCTGACATACGAGCACAGTCCTGCATACTGGAGATATTTATGACCTTCTAATGGTTACCGATTATTGCTAATAATGATAAAGGATACAGTCATAAATAACAATGTGGTAAGACCCCTGGTAGTGTCTTGTGCTGTCTTTTTCATTCCGAGTGTGTTTTCTATTTCTAAATGTTTTAGTCCATAGTTTGTCGTAACCTTGACACATGGTGACAACAGTTTTATAATTTTGGTCCTATCAACTTTTCAGGGTCAGAGTAAGAAGTTCACTAACCAATATAAAAAGAATGAAAAATATACATTACAAATGAAATACACAATGCCATCTTAGAAAGTGGTCAAATGTAACATATGTTATATTTGGGATTACACTTTCTCAGTAGCTTTCTCGCGTGGAAGCCGCGATGGCTGAGCGGTCTAGGCATCTGACTTTGTGTGCTGGCGGTTAGGTGCCTGACTCTGAGGGTATGGGTTCGAACCCCCAAAAAGTACTAGAATCTGTACTTTACTGAGAAAGAGTAATCCCAAATATAACATATGTTATACATTACAAATGCTTTTTGAATAAATGTCACAAAAGTAGAACACTGGGATGAAAAGGCTTGATGAGGGTAATGATTGTGTCCTGTCATTGTGTATACTACTACAAAGAAAAATCATAAAGATCTTACTTTTTGTTCTATTAGAGTTGATTGAAGAGATTTCTGTTGAATGTTAGCATTTTCCAGTTCAGACAGTAAGATCTGTACCTGCAAAAGTAAAATTCAAAATGTCAAAATTCATCTTTTATATGCATTATATAAGAGTGGACTGAAAAAAAGCTATTACCTGTGTAACAGTCACTCACTCTGTTAGTAAACCATTTACATTTAAACCATGCAATGGGTACATTCATCGGATCACATTTAGAAGCAAATTGTAAGTTGAACTTGAGCTGCCAATCCTATTCACAATTTCATAAAACAGGACATATGAAGACCTTTAGATACACGAACAAACTATAAATCAGTAAACTACATTTTCACAAATGTCAAACTGAATAAATCATTAACAGAAATAAGGTGAAACAAGCCCAGTTACCTAGGATATCGAAATCATGAGTCAAAGAGTAAACACACCAGTAAATCTCTCCTATGTACTAGTCTTTCACAGTCAAACATACAATTATATAGGAAAGAATTATATAACTCTTCCTGGACTTCTACCATAAACGTTTTTACACTGAAAACAATCACAAGTGTGGATATATTAACATTCACAAGAGTTACAAGTAACCTGTTGACAGAACATGTGGAACAAACCTGAACTAAATCCCAAGGTCTAGCATTTCACCTTTTCTCAGCCCTAGTTAATTAACACTGATTAAGCCTGATAACTACATGTAGTAACAAGCTGGTCTCACAACTGTCCCAAACGTAGTGGTGTGCCATTCTCCACACAGAACATAATCATCCTGTACAGCTATAGTTTCCACAGCTACATGTCTGGGTGTATCATCCCAGCGCTAAACTAGAATGGTTCAGGTACAATACAAGGTGGGAGGCGTGTGTCAACACTAGTGAGACCGCTGTGGCAGTGTGGAGAGGGGGGTTTGTTGACATGGATCACTCCCCTACCTGTTATAGCCCTATATATCTCTACTTGACCCGGTGTGTAATCTGGTCCTTAAGACAAATCCACCAGATACATGCCTATCCAAAGCATAAACACTTACATAAGTTATCATAGATTATTCAGAGATGGCATGCTGTGAGAAATCCATGTATTACATACTCAGTGGGTTGATTCATATCTGACTTTGTGATTTGTAACTTTGCATAAGCTTAATTATGATTTGAAATGATAAGAATGCAACAATACGCTAAAGTACAAAACGCTAAACAATTTGGCACATCAGTCAAAGAATAAAATAAGTTTTCACTTTGGGAATGGATACTGGTGACTTGAGTTGATCTTGACATGATTTTAGTTTTAACTTACAAATCATTAAAAGTAACACAATTACCATCAGCAATGTGAATAAGTTATCACTTATGGTCCATTTTTAAGTTCATTTATTAGAACCTTGACAAAACCGACAAACATTAACAAAATATAATATGACTTTTGAAAAACATACAAGGGTAAACATTACTCAGTGCTATGGTGTGACCAACCAAGTAAGCAGGGATCACATACAAACAAGTTTAGCTTCATAACGGCATTTAATAAATCCAGAATAATAATAAATAAATAAAGTTAGTATTTATATAGCGCCTTTTCCAACAACTTTGCTCAGAGGCGTTTAGGCAAAGGCACTGTCAAAAAAGTGAGTTTTCAAGACACGTTTGAATTGTTCAAGGTCTTCAATGTTCTGGATGTTTGGTGGCAAGATATTCCACAGACACGGTCCTGCTTTAGAAAAAGCTCTGTCACTGAAATTCTTTTTTCTTGTCAGTGGAATCTCTAGCACCCGGGAGGAGTTGGGTCTCAGTGCTCTTCTAGGGTTGTAAAGTGAGATCAAGTCACTGATATACCGTATACTGGTGCCAGAAGGTGGAGAGAGTTGAACACAAAGATGAGAATCTTAAACATGATTCTGTATCTGATGGGGAGCCAGTGGAGAGTCTTAAGTACTGGACTGATGTGCTCTGTCCGTTTGGTCCCAGTAATGAGGCGAGCAGCACAGTTCTGGACTGTCTAGTGTTTTCGCTGATGAACCGTAAAGGAGACTATTGCAATAGTCTAAGCGTGATGTAACAAAAGCATGGAGTGTCTGATGTCGAAAAATTAAGTGACAAAAGAAAACAATATATCAGATGTACCATTTAGATTTTATGTGTGCTCCCATGAGGAATACATTTGATTAATAGAAAAAGCTGTCTCTTGAAATGTTCGTCTACTCTTCCTGAAATCAATCCTGCTACACTTGATACCACTTTCTGGTTTGTAATGGTAACACAGAATTAAATATGTCAGCATACAGAAGGATAACAATATATGGCTGAGCAACTTCTTTATTGCAGTGAGAGTGATGTTTCCAGTGTAGGTTCTAACACTGTTATCAAGCAACTAGTGATCACTGCTCCAATTTCTAAATGCCTCTTGTTCAAGTTTGCCTCTATCTTTCACCCCTGAAGATCCGGGTTAGAATTGATCTTCTTCACCCATGCTTGTCGTAAGAGCCAACTAACAGGATCAAGTAGTCAGGCTCACTGACTTGATTGACACATGTCATAGTATCCCAGTTATTCATGCTCAAATCCAAATGTGTAGATCGATGCTCATGCTGTTGATCACTGGATTGTCTGGTTCAGACTGCTGCCATATTGCTGGAATATTGCTAAGTGCAATGTAAAACTAAACTCACTCACTCTAAATGCCTCTCAAAGCAGTCAAGTCAGCATACCCTGTTCCTCGTAAGCTTTCTAAAAGTCTGTCATCCAAACACATGAATAGTAACATATGTTATATTTGGGATTACACTTTCTTAGTATGTTACATTTGACCACTTTCTAAATGGCATTGTGTATTTCACATGAATAGTGTTTCATATTCAGGAGTGATTCACTATATAATATTGCTTTCTCTGCAATGGGTAATGTTTTGGCTGTATCACAGAGGCCTGTTTATGATCACATCTGGACTAGGCTAACTAGTGACTGAAAACATAAACATTCATTCAAGCCTGACCACCCGATCCTCAGTTAGTCAAACTTTGGAGCAGAAGATCCCAATACAAAGACACGCAGACAATATGGACACAAAATGTGCCCATCCAATCCTCATTTTAGTCAAACTCGGGAACAGAAATTCCCACTACTTAGACACACTGGTTACATATTGTTGCCACCCAATCTTTAGTTTAGTTAAACTCTGTACCAGTAATTATCCAGTACCACAGCAACAGCAACAGCAACCTCTGTTAAAGGAGGTTAAAGGATAAAAATATATCCACAACTGTATCAGATTGATGGATGTGTTTTATGTGGCATCTAATACAAATCTACAGATTCAATCTGCATGAAGATGAAAAGAACTCAAATGTCAAACTTACTTCAAGATCTGGAGAGGATGTCAAACATCACTAGCTTCCAGTCAGTGTAACAGCCACCTACCTTTAGCCATAACATACAATACTGACTGAATTAAATGTTTTACTATGTTATCATCTGAATAACAAAGATGTGCACCATGCTGTGGTATTATCAGCTTAAGGTCATGCAGAAAACTGAGATGTGAGACTGATAATGAGTAATATCTGATAACAATAGTATACGTTATATATAGTAATACTTATTGTGGAGCTATTTGTGTGTGTGTGTGTGTCAAAAATAGATTGTTTGTAATCTTATTTGCTTCAATCAGTGTTCAAAATTATACAAGCAAATGTTCTTGTCAAAACTCTAATGTGAAATTTACTGGGTCCCTGAATCAGAGACAAAATCTCCAAACCACGCAGACCCTGGTCCCCATTAATGTAGGTAGTACTGTTGCTGGTAGTGGTCCATAGTACTATTCTCACTGGTAATGCATTGCTGTCAACACCGAGATTAGTACAGCTTTAGAGCTGACAGTTACAACTATACTCTGTTAGAAGTATACAGCCACCTGATTATCTCAGTAACAGCAAAACAGGGCATTTTACAAAAGAAAACATAATCTATGGTGTCTTCAAACTAGCTAAATTCCCAAAATGTTCACACAAACCTTCTCACCATAAACGACTAGCTGCTTCCTTTCATGAGTGGTGAACCACATTTCCAAGTTCTTTGTGAAAATGGAGGTATATAAATGGGTATAATTTAAAACTGATACAATATGGAAAAACACTACTTGAATTAATGGTTTAAATACAGTCTTGACATCAGTTAAATCTTAAAGCTTCATCACCTCCAATATTGTGTGAAACGATATTGGAAGTAAGTGTACTATAAATCAAACAGACAGCAGCCACTGTCAAGTCTCTTTCAGTCAAAAACCAATCAAAACTTAACAAAATTGAAAATACAGCTAGTAAAATAGCCGGGATCACTTTCGATAATCTTTCACTTCTCTATGAGAGGCAAGTACTAAAGATATTGTCTGTCTGTCTGTGTCAATGTACCACAATGTAGTGTAGGAAGCACCCATACAATAACTCATATACTACCCATCAAAAGTTTAGACTCACTAGTGTAAATATAGCCACTTACTTCAGGCAACTGTTCTGAACTAAATTTTGCAAAATATTTCATACTGTTTAATGGTACAGTTTACAAATGAATTGATGTATTGGAAAAGAAATTTGTAATGTTGAAAAGATTATTGTCATGAGTTAAATAAATGATGAAACTCAGTGAAAATTGGCGAATTCTTAACAAAACTTTACACCAAAACGCAGCCGTTTGCTTGTACGATATTTGCATATGCTTTTCAGCAATTTGATGCATGATCCTCATGCAATTCAACTGCATAAGGTTTGCAGTTGGTTCCACCAAGTTAGTGGAGGAATTCATCTTCAACATAACCACATATATATACATAACATATAGTGAATGCTTTAGGTGAGTCTAAACTTTTGATGGGTAGTTTTATATGCACATCTTAATTTTTCTAAAAATGCAAAGACAAGAGAGACATAATCCTTCTTGTGACACTTAATGCTGGCTAACCTTTCTTGTCTTAGATAGAAGATTTATTGGTACAGGCTGTAACATGTAGTGTGTCTTTAACAACTGGAAACAAGAAGACAAAGTCATCAATATCCCCACAATGGCAAAATACTCTTCATGATTATGTCTATGAGTTATGGTTATGTCAAATATTTAGGTGTGTATATAGAAAAGTGGAAGGAGAGTATTGAAAGGTTTTAAAGTTCTGCTCGAAAAGAGCACGACCACAATTTCAGGCTAAGTCAAACTTGTTGCCATGGAAACGCCAAAAGTATTTTATTCAGAATTCCAAAACTACCAAAAGGCACCAGTACACCACCAGATCTATCTATGTGCCAAGTTTGGTGAAGAAATAGTGAACAGTTTTAGAGTTCTGCTCTGGAAAAGAGCACGACCACAATTTCAGGCTAAGTCAAACTTGTTGCCATGGAAACGCCAAAAATATTTTATTCAGAATTCCAAAACTACCAAAAGGCACCAGTACACCACCAGATCTATCTATGTGCCAAGTTTGGTGAAGAAATATTGAACAGTTTTAGAGTTCTGCTCCGGAAAAGAGCACTACCACTAATTTCAGTCAAAGTCGAACTTGTTGCCATGGAAACGCCAAAAATATTTTATTCAGAATTCCAAAACTACCAAAATGCACCAGTACACCACCACATCCATGCATGTGCCAAGTTTGGTGAAGAAATATTGAACGGTTTTAGAGTTCTGCTCGGAAAAGACAAATGTGCATGGGACGGACGGACGACGCGACGCGACGGGACGACGCATACGCGACGACGGGTCCATTTTAATACCCCTGCAAAATGCGTTATGGGGATAAAAATAACATGTATATTCCATGACCATTATAGCAGGATAGAAGGGTTATATGATTCTCTTTAAGGTGTTTGACACAGTCCAATTCTAAGCTTCTGATCAGTGAAACCCTATCATATAAAAGATCTTCCTCTTAGCCTATATCTGCAACACCATGGTACACCTATTGACAAACTGGTAAATCTATGTACAGATATTCTATCACGTACCTTGCTCTCATAGTCTGTTATTTGTGCCTGTAAACTTGTATTTTCCCTTTCCACCTGATTCAGCCTGTTTTCTAGCTCCTTCCTCTTGTCTTGGTACTTAGTTAGGGTCATTTTCAGTTCTTCATTTTCCTCCTGTGTCTCTGAGCGGAGGTCAACCAGTTCTTGTAGGCTGGAAAAATACAGAGAAAATATGGATCTGGATGGTATAATAACTGTGTCACTGATAATCAACCAGTGTAATAGTTGGCGTGGTGGGCAAGCTGTCTAAGGCATCAGGCTAGTGATCCAGTGAGCTTGAGGTGCGGGGATCGAGCTCACCTGGGACCGGGTGTAAACAGGAGTCAACTTTTGTGCAGACTCTTTCAGTGTTGTCACAAACCCCTAGTGTACAGTATACAACCCTGTGCACTTTAAAGGACTTATGAATCTGTTATATATGACCAGATGGTGGCCACAATCACGTGAAAACACCTAGTTGCAGGTAGAGCAATGTGCAGTAAAACTTGAACAAAGTACTGTGACTATGTGTCCCAGTCCACCCAGCTGTGAATGGGTACCTCAGGAAAGCCACATTAACTCAGTGCGCCTAGTGGCTGCAAGAGTTGTATGATCCCCAGGGAGTTGAGATTGATAATATGATGTGCCGGCTGAGTTTGACAAACAATGATCGAGGGAAAATCAAAGCGCTTTTGAATCCATTGTATATGACCAGATGGTGGCCACATGAATACGTGCAACACCTAGTTGCAGGTACAGCAATGTGCAGTAAAACTTGAGTGAGTGAGTTGGGTTCTACACCGCTTTTAGCAATATTCCAGCAATATCACGGCGGGGGACACCAGATATGAGTAAAACATGAACAAAGTACTGTGACTATGTGTCCCAGTCCACCCAGCTGTGAATGGGTACCTCGGGAAAGCCACATTAACTCGGTGCGCCTAGTGGCTGCAAGAGTTGTATGATCCTCAGGGAGTTGAGATTGATAATACGATGTGCCGGATGAGTATGACATCCAATGATCGAGGGAAAATGAAAGCGCTTTTGAGCAGCTGAGGTGGATATTGGCGCTATACCCACCTCTTTATTTTCTTCTTGGTGATGACATGGTCTTGGTTCATGGTGTTCATGCTCTCCTCCTGGGCCTCCAGCTGCAGCTGTAGCTTGGCATTGTCCTCAACCAGCTTCCCGGTTCTGGTGCTGCAGGTCTCCCACTCGACTTGTCAGCTCGCTGATCTCGCTAGTGGAATGGTTAACTTGTTATTACTGCTGATATATTTACATGACTTATTTTCACATCTAGTAATCTCAGTTTTGTGTTTCACAACACCATACTATTTCAGGTGCAAAATATGCATTATGTCGGAATGCGGATGTAAAATCTACAAATCACTTCCCACCCAAATGGTCAGTTGAACTGGAAATCAAAATAAAGGTAAAACATGCAATCTTGACACAATCATTGGACTGAATGTATTTGATGCAAGAAAGAAACTCTTTCAGATTTAAGCTTAAAGGTTATTACGTGTTCTATCTATCCTATGATAGTCATACAATCACCATCCTATCCTGCAAGCCAAAGCTACGATGTATGGAAGATCTTGTTATGATGCTGGATGTTGCAATGTGAATGACAGTGATAATGATTGGCAGTGACATGTAGACAAAAGATACTGAACATATTGTTTTACATCATCTTACCAAACTATAAGATTGAGGTTAAGTAACATGATGATAGAATGAGGGAGGACAGGTGATGTGTAACCAAACTACACTGGTGAGTTCATCATAAAACATATCTATTTTGTGATGGGTCAAAGAGTGAGTGAGTTTAGTTTTACGCCACACTCAGCAATATTGCAGCTAAATGGCAGCGATCTGAAAATAACTGAGTCAGGATCTGACAATCCAGTGATCAACAGCATGAGCTACGCAATTGGGATACGATGACATGTGTCAACCAAGTCAGCGAGCCTGACCATCCAATCCCATTAGTCACCCCTTACGACAAGCATGGGTTACTGAACATCAATTCTAACACGGATCTTCACAGGTTGATGGGTCAAAGAAATAACTCTTCTGTATCAGTTTCATAACTTTATGTCCTGCCATGCTACACTGAATTCTGGAACCTTTTCACAGAAGATGACATCCAGGGTAGCACAGGTTCCTGATTCTGATTGAATGGGAAAAGGAGCAACACCGCCCTGAGAAATGAATCACAGTGGCCTGTAAAGAGTTAAATCTGGACCAGATAAACTAGTGATTAAGCATCATCAACGGTCCACCCAAACAACTATCAATAAAGGTACTAAGCCCGACCACCCAATCCTGTTTCATCAATTGTTGTGGCAAGCATTTTCCCCTGGCATAATCAATATGAGCTTCTTGAGCTTGCTAATCCATGAATGAAGTCACATTACCTTTCAAAATGCCTTGTACTTGTATCAAGAGAAGATGCATCCAGTACTGAAGCTGACATATTTGCATCTGGAAAATTGTACAGAGTGAGTGAGTGAGTGAGTGGGTGGGTGGGTGTGAGTGAGTGAGTGGGTGAGTGAGTGAGTGAGTGAGTTTTACTCCACTTTCAGCAATGTTCCAGCAATATCAAAGCAGACCACACATTAAGGGGACTTCATTCATTGGACCCATGTGGGGAACTGAACCCTGATCTTTTGTGTGACAAGCAAACACTTTAACCTCTGGCCTACCCCACAAAGTAAATGAAAACCTTTCATTTAAGCTGTTATATATCACTACAATCTAACACAAGCAGATAATTCATACCATGTATGTATTTATTTATCTGTATCATCTAACCATTTTCCAAGCACCTGTAGCCTGGTATTATGCTAAAGTAATATTTTTCCTCAGAAGGTTTAACAAGAGGTTTTACGGAATACAGTGAGATGATTTTGAAACACTGCTAACTGATCTATTACTGAAAATTCTCTGCAGCTTATTGTGTGTTACAACTATGAAAGAGTAGAGTGCAGACAATAGAGCATACATTTACATCTCAACATACTTGATTGTTGTTTTACTGTCACAGAACTGAGTGAAGCACCTGTAAAATCTTTCAAACATATATAGTTCATGAAGCACCTGTCAATCACCTGGGTTCCCTCTGTATACAGAATTATCACTGTACCGATTCAATCAGGCCAAAATTATTTAAACAAGAACCTTGGACTGCCTAAATTAACAGGACAGCCTAAGCATGTGAACATATTTGTTGGCTTTACAACAAATGGAATCCTGAAAGCTAGCTATAGGATGCATCACTGGACATAATTACGGTAGATCAATTCTTTAAACGGTAGAAAATCAGCTTTCTTGAGAGTACTTTGATGACTTGAAAAAACAATAGTTATTCTTCTTCAAACTCATGTGTATTTTGTTCATACAATTTCAAAGTACAAAGTGATATTACCTTCCAATTGGCTTGAATCATTGTCTTGACTGAGGAATGATGGAAAATGGTTGTCTGGATAGAACAAACTGCTCTTTTGTCTCCTTAGGGGATTCCGAGGCATGAGTTCTTCGGAGACGCTGCTTCCACTGAAATATTGCCATGTGGATGTTGACAGTAATGATTCTAATTCAGATATGGAGAACTTACAAGCCCCTGAAAAAACAAAATGACCATCTCTTTCCACTTGTCATACATAACCAGTGTTTGATATCAAGCATGAAAATGAAGAAGTGCTCATCATGACAGTAATAATTAAAGACAATAACTTGAGAGGAGTGACAGTTGAAGCATTTGAACAGTTGTTTTTCCAAAGACCCTATAATATTCTGCATCTAATACTGCATGCAAGTTTGAACAATATACACTCAGTAATAATTACATTATTGTCACCACAACTGGACAGCTGCTACAAAAGTCTCAATATATTTCAAATTCATCGCTGTTATATTTACAGCAGACCATATGTTTCACAAGTACTATATTTAATTGAAAGTCTATTGTGTACAAGACTAACAATTTTTAAACAGTTATCCTCAGGTCCGCAGGATTCAGGCGTTTAAAGTCATAATGACAACCAAACACAAGATTTTGCAAACCAAATAAATTTATTTCCAACTCAACTAATATATACAATGTACCTAACATTATCTAACCAAAACTTTATTTCTTCTTTAAACTAAAACTTAAGAAACTTAAAACTCTGTTTGCCTAGTCTACAGAAACAATAGTGAATTTCTCACCTTTCTTGCCTCTGTAAGACCCCAGAGTGCAGAGGAAAAATAATCTGCCCTTTTATACCCCTAACCTATAACTCTTACCCAATAAAACCATGCTCTGAAAATAACCCAAAAAATGCCTACAAAAGAAAAAGTTCAGTTGACTGATCCCTCTGCTCATGCGATGCTCATGCACAGGCCCATCCCATTGCATAACAATGGGAAGAAGCACACTAGGCACTTGCCTCAAGAGCTAAAATGGTCCCACTAGCCTAAGCCTCAAGAGCTAAATGGACCAGCCCAAGCTTGAAGGCAAAAAATAAGCCTGGTGTGTTATTTTAAGATCTTTGAGAAAAACAAAACAACCAAGCCAATGCCTAACCTGTCAAACCCACCCTAAAGCAACAAGCCTAATTTCTACTAAAACAAATAACCCTACCTCCTCATATTCAGGGAAGTAGTCTTGAACATAGGGATTAACGAGGGGAGGAAGAGGTGGCATTCTTCGCACAATACTGATGCACTTATCAGTTCCATCGAACAGAGGTCTAACCTCTGTGTCCCTGGGTGTCCCAGGCCCAGACATGGGGATCAAAGGCTGATCTCGTGCCTTCTTTGCAATGCCCTCCCTTGATAATTGAGCTAATTCTCTAAGTGTTAGGTGACGGTTGACATCTACCTCTGGCGTTTCTTTTTCATTCGTCTGGATGTTATGTTTGAGCTTCAGGTGCCGATGGAGGTCTGTCCTCGCTCGAAATCTCCTTCCACATGCTATGCATGAGAATAAATGAATGAATGTTGTGTGATACTTTTTCACATGGTGCCTCCGGGCCCTTGCTGAAGAAAATGCTCCAGCATTGCACACATCACAAGGTCGGGAGTCATGGTCCCCTTCAAGCTCATCAAGCTCTGCTTGAGTTACACCAATATGTAGGATGTCGCTCATCTGTAAAGAAGGGATGGACTTAACACAAGAAATCAGAACACAGGCAGTTCTAAACGCTATACCTATGCCCCTTATGTAGCCTGTTTCAGTTTCTCTACATGATTGTTTATGTTGAGTCACCTACGGAACCATGGCCATGGCTACTCTCAGTGAACTCATTCGTGCAACCCTTCCTCCTCACGAGATATAGGTCTATCCAGATACAAGCATTGCCCCAAATTAGCTTGCTGAAAATTTTAAGGAGAGTATCTTTGGCGTGGCCTGACAGTACGTCCACAACGTGTTCGTTTGACTTCTTCAACATCCACACCAACATCCTCAAGACCAGCTTCCAAATCGGAAACGTGATGTTCATGTTGAGAGCACACACTACTGGATTCATCAGCTGAGCTATCACCTGCAAGTTCATCAAGCCAAGCATCAGGAGTTGTCCTCCCTTCATATGCTTTCAAGTGATTTACATGGACAACTATAGGCTTTGCAATAGTACTTCTCTGAATCTGATATGTTACATCAGTCACCTTCCTAATAATCTTGTATGGTCCTATCCATCCAAATGATAAAGGGCGATTGGCAGTTGGTAAGTGCCATCTCCAAACAAAGTCATCAGCAAGAAAACTACGAGGTTTTAAAACTCGATCATAGTATTTCTTTTGTCTGGAGGCAGCGACTCCCAAATGCTGTTGCAAAAAAAGAAAAGCAGTGATTCATGTTGTGCTGTAGCCATTGAACATAAGCAACAGGACACAAGTCAGGTTGCAACAGAGGCGGTGTTCCCACCATAATGTCCAGAGGGCAAGATATTTCACGTCCAAATAAAAGGAGGTATGGAGAACATCCAGTACTTTCATGAACTGAAGATCTATACGCCATTAGAACTTGAGGTAGATGATCATCCCAGTTATTTCGGTGGCTATTAGCAAACGAACTTAACATTTGCTTCAGGGTTCTGTTAAACCGTTCAACCAATCCATCTGATTGCGGTCGATAAGGAGTTGTACGAGTTTTTTCTATGCCCAGTTTGGAACACATTTCAGAAAACAGCAGTGATTCAAATTCTCTCCCTTGATCTGTGTGTATTTGCATTGGACATCCAAATCGACAAACAATCTCAGTGACCACTTTATCTGCAACCGTTAATGCTGTGTGATTTTGAATAGCAAATGCTTCTTTCCATTTTGTATAATAATCTCCAACTACTAGAATATATTCGTTCCCATTCTCAGTTGTAGGCAACGGTCCAACCACATCAAGTGCAATCCTATCAAAAGGTGCCCCAATGTTTGATTGTTTCAACTCAGATCTTGCTTTCCCTGGACCTGGTTTCCTTTGGGCACACACAATACATTGTCTACACCACAAAGTTATTTCTGCTGTCATTCTTCTTTTAACAGCTTTCAAAGTTTTCTCCCTGCCTAAATGCCCTGATGTTATGTTGTCATGAAGCATGTGCATGATCTCCTTCCTTATCGCAACTGGAGCAACCAGCAAGTATCTTACATCACCCATAATGCCATGAATAGTCTTGAAGTACAAGATTCTGTCAATTATCTCAAGAGACTCCCATAATCCCCACATGGTCCTGACCTGCTGAGAACAGTTTGCCACAAGCACTTTAGATGGTTTTTCCTGAAATCTTTGTTATAATGCTATAAAAACCTTCAAAGTCTCATTGTCATTCTGCCACTGTTCTATGGAATGTTTGTCCCAAGTCTCAATCCAGTTACTGACAATGTTTTCATTAACTGTACCTGTACAATCATCATCACTATCATCACCGTCTGAGGAATGATTGTAACTTGAGCAACAGGGTGATTACAGTCTTTTTTACTTGTTACATGACATTCTGAGCAATCAATGTTTTACACTTTCTGAGAGGTTTCCTTGACATTGCATCAGCATTTTGATGCTGAGGTTATCTCCTGTCTTTCAATTCATAGTCATAGATGTCTAGAACAGAAATCCAACGAGCAACCATTCCCTCAGGATTTTTAAAGTTCTTAAGCCATGTAAGAGATGCATGATCAGATCTGATGGTAAACTTCTTCCCTATCAAATAATGCCTGAAATGCTTCACAAAAGTAATAACAGCCAATAACTCTTTGTAGGTGGTACAATATCATTCCTGCTACCTATTGAGGGTTTTACTTGCATATGCTGTTGACATCGTGCTTCTTACTCATGAACGACAGAGGCATCAAGTTGGGGTTAAAAGTTTTAATAAACCTTCCTTCAGCACATCGGCGGTTACATTCAAACTGAGCATGGGAAACACATGTACAGGTACTTCCGGAAGATAAAAGGGAGTTAATTGTTTTGTCTTTTACATACCGCTAAAACAAATAAAGCAAAGTGACTGATGCGTACGTACAATATCCACAAAGCAATATAACTACAGTTTACTCCAACACCCCAACTTGAACTGTAGTTATGTACTATATACACATGATCAACGTCTTACTGGTTACTGAGTTTGACAAGTCTTCTCAGTCTGATGAATGTAGTTGGAATGCTCGCCATTTTGTAGCAGTAGTGTACAGTGTACATTGCACTATCCTCAGATTCAGATATGTCTGATCCACATACATAGTCCTCCATGTGTTTGGGTTTTGTAGTTTGTCTTTTGGGATATCTTGGCGTTGGCTCGACTTCTTGTTGCTTTTGGTTTTCTTCTGTCGTTGGACCTTTATTCTCTTCATGTTGAGTTTCTTCTTTCTCCTGTTCTTTAGTTTCTTCAGCCTCAGGTCTCTTGTACATTTCTTGTTCTTCCTCATAGTCAGGTTCATAAACAGTCTCTGTAAATATTTCTGTGAATTTCACACATCTTATTCTTCTGACTTCATCCTGTTGAGGGAAGTAGACCAGGTAGGCTGGGCTTTCACGATCATATCCAACGAAAACACCTTTTCGGGCTCGCGATTGTCCAGTTTCTTTGTCCCTTGAACATAAGCAAAGCAAGCTGTGCCAAAACATGCATATTTGATAGATTTGGCTTCTGACCTGTCATAGCCTCAAATGGTGTCTTGTTCAGTCTCTTGTTGTAACACCGGTTTTGAATGTACGCTGAAGTCATGATAGCATATGACCACAGAGTCTTGGGTAACTTGGCTTCAATGATGAGGCATCTCACCATGTCGAATAGGGATTGCATGCCCTTCTACTGTTCCGTTCTGATGGGGTGAGTACGGTGCTGACCTCTGGTGACGTATCTTGTTCTTGATGAGAATGTTCCTAAATTTCTCACTGGTGAATTCTGTCCCGTTGTCAGTCCTCAAGGTGACCACTTTTCCAAATGGTGCCATATCTGCTAAGAATTTCTCTGTAGCTGCTGGTGTGTCACTTTTCTGCTTCAGGAGATACAAGGTAACAGTACTTGAGTCATCATCCACAAATGATAGAACATATCTAAAACCACCACGAGCTG